CCTGTGGTAACTCTCTGTCCTTCTCTAACCTGCTGGCTACACAGCATGATTTCCTTGGGATTTTTATTTATTTTGCTTTTAAGCAGAAGTGTAATATTACTGAGAATCACCAGATGGCATTGCTGCAGATAACTCTGATATTTCTCTTCCCCTAACTCTACGGGGGATAGGAACTGAATTGCAATCCAGTGCAGAGTTTTTCCTGATGTTACAACTTGAGCTCTGTTAGAGAGATGTCACTACATATTTGTACATTATACCATATTATATATTTGTATGCATGTGTGCCCATGCCTGAGCCCTCACAATGCCATAAGATTTGTTTACAGCAAATGATCATGCACGGCTACACTGGGAAAGTTTAGAAACATAGACACAATAAATGTGGGAGAAATATGTTCTTTAAACTACTTCAACTTTTAATTGTTTCTTAATTACTGCATTCTTCAAGCTCATTGAAATGATTCACAGGTTTAAAATTGTTAAAAGGCTACTGGATTTGTTGGCTGAAGTGCTTCAGCTACAATAGTTGCATCTGCAAATAACCTGGGATCAAATTATGTAATAACTCACAGCTCATTAAACTCCTTTGAAGAGCTCAAATGACCTGGGTGTTAATTTTTAGTGCAGCCTATGGTGTATAACATATGTCAGCACTTCAGGGCTGCTCTGCCTCCCAGCCTGCACAGCCCTGCTCCCAAGGATGGCCCCAGTCAGGATGCCTCCATGGACACCACTGACGCCGAGAGAGCAAATATGAGGGTGAACAGAGCTTTTCAGCTGATTAGCTTTCAAGGCACGACACAGTTGTGACATAGAGCTTACTACACAGAACTCCTGAGTGTGTCCAGAGGAGGGCAATGAAGCTGGTGAGGGGCTTGGGACACAAGCCCTGTGAGGAACAAGTGAGGGAGCTGGGGGTGTTCAGCCTGGAGAAAAGAAGACTCAGGGGTGACCTTATTGCTCTCTACACAACTCCCTGAAAGGTGGCTGTAGTCAGGTGGGGTTAGTCTCTTTCTCCAGGCAGCAACTGACAGAACCAGAGGATGCAGCCTCAAGCTGTGCCAAAGGAATTATAGGTTGGATATTAGGAAAAAATGTTTTACAGAAAAGGTGATAAAAAAAAATGCTGGAATGGTCTGCCTGGGGAGGTGGTGGAGTCACCATCCCTGGATATGTTTATGACTGGATGTGGCACTCTGTGCCATGGTCTAATTGAGGTTTTAGGGCTGGGTTGGACTTGATGATGTTAAAGATCTCTTCCAACCCAGTGATTCTGTGTGTGATTTATAACTCCATATAAAATGTCCAGATTACATTTCTCTTCCTCATTCCAGAACCCTTCATTTAAAACCAAGGATAAGGGGAGTTTGTAGCCAGGTGGGGTGTTGGGAGGAAAGGGTTTAAACTGGAAGATTTGGCAAGGAGGGAATAGTTTTTGCTCAAAGTGACCTTGCAGCTGGGAATGCTAAGAATGTCAGAGTGGGAATGAGTGTCCATTTATTATGCCCAGTGTTGTTCATCCTCTGCTGGTTTCGAGAAGTAGAATTCCCATGTAGAGACAACACACACAGATATGCTTGAGCCTTCTGCTGGAAGCGAAATATCACAAAAGCACAGTCTTGTGATAAATTGCACATGTGCAAGGCCCTTGATGCCTGGGGCAGGCAGTGGTTCCCCCCACCGTGTGCTAGGATGAACTGAACCTAATGGAGCCTTGTGCCTTTTCACTAGGATGAACTAAGCCCAAGAGAGTCCATGTCCCAGTGTGTCTCTGCTGCCCAGCCATGTGGGTGAGGCAATGAAGTAACTCCACTCTTTGCATTTCAGCTGTGGTTGGGTGGTTGCCATTGTTACCTGTATGTGTTGACTCACACATGGGGATTGACTCCTTCTCCCAGGCAAACTGTGACAGCATGAGAGGACTTAGTCCTAAGCTGTGCCCGGAAAGCTTTAGGTTGGACATTAGGAGGAAATTTGGTATCAGGCTTTGGTGAGGTTAAGATTTTCCTCCCCACTCATAGTGTAACATTTCACCCCTTTGGTGACATCAGGTCTGTGCCTCCACCTCCATTTTTACACTTGGGCTCAGTTTCATCGAGCTGCAGCCACCCCTCAGTGTCCCCACAGCAGCATAAGGTCAGTTCAGGCTGCAGAGGCCACCAGGCGGGCAGCCACCCTCAGCTGAGCTCTGTGCCATAGTCAGTGCACAGATTTGTAGTCAGACTGGGCACATTCTCAGGAACTGAGTTACAACTGCAATTCCTGATTGTAGAACTAAACTGCCAACACTGTGTGGTGAAAGGAAATGACAACCTGAGGCTGCCACCCCAACGGCAAAGGCTAAAAGGCAAAGTGTGATTTTTGTCCATAGTTCTTGCTTTATCCAGATGCCCTGGAAAGCTGCGGATCATTGCTCTAGAGGAACAATTTTGAATCCAGTAAACCGACAGCTCTCCTGTCTTTTCCACCATCAAGCTGGCATTTCCCTGGACTTTCAGCTGGCAAAGAGATTCTCAATATCAGTGTATGATCACAGCTTTGGTATTAGTGAATTAAAAGCCATGTTCTTGAGGGTATCACTAATGTTGATGAAAGGAATCTTTCTTGGTTGAACAGGCAGGGATGCTTTAGGGGCAGTAGGACTGTTATTTGGGGGATGTTAAAACCATTTTTAGATCATAACTGCTCCCATGTCTCCACAAAAACATTTGCAACATCACCTCAGTAGAGATTAACCTGAGATACTGTACTCCTTTCTTCATGTCTGCCTAGTTGTTGTTCCATTTCCCATTTTATTGAAGTAGACATAAATAGAAACCATCAACATTGCCTTTCATGTTTCTCTTCTGTGAGCCAGGCACAGGCAACACCAAGGTAGTCAATATAGATGATTTTGAATATAATTAATTCAATTCTAATACCCATTAAGCAGATAGTGGTATGTAAGTCAGGTACTAAAAGAGACAAGTTATCCGAAAGGCTACCAGTGGAAGGGATGGGCCCTTGGAGCCCAAGAATTAGAAAATGAAAAAGATAACTCAGTGAAATTCCCACAGCAGAAAACAGGCATCCACAGCAATCTTTAAATGCTTGTATGTACGTTCAAAGAGAGCACTGCAAATCACTCCTCTCTGCTTTTAACACCCTGACTACAGAAGCAATAACTCAAGACATACTCACTGGATTATGTTTTTCAATATCACAGTTTTGTTCATATGATTTTTTAAATAAAGCCAGCTACCCAGAGAAAAGATCAGGCCTCTATGGTTTCACTACAAAAAAGGGACCATAAACAAGACATAGTTTACAGTACAGATTTTCCTCTTTCATGTTTTCCAGCATTTTTGGCTGGCACACACAGCCAACCTTCTCCATTTATACGCCATCATCCCCAGACATGGGCATCATTTTTCTAAGCGACAGAAACAACCTCTTACATAGAGATAATGAAAAATAGTTATTCTCTTCTGTATTAATGTTCACAGTTATTTTTATAAAGGAAAAGTGTTACCAAAGCCATTCTCACAGAATGGAAAACCCTCTTTGGGATCAACCCAAGCTGATTTAACAAAGATGAGTGCACACTGAAAAATCCCTGAAAACTCCCATCCTTCAGCTTTTGCCTCAGAATATATTTGACACAAACTAATACCACACAATGAAGTAGCACACACCTTATGCAAATCCTGTCTTTGTGGTTTGGTGCAAACCCTGTGTGCTCACAAGGGCTATTTCTATAGCAAAATGCTGTCATGTGAATACTATTTCTTTAGTGATTTAGATGAGAACTTCTCTGCAGCATTTGTTAAAAATGCTTTGATGTTTGTGATGTACTGCCAATATATTTCCAACAGTACTTAAACTGGCTACTTTTAGAAAAATCTTTAATTTAGCTGAACATTTTTGGTAAAAGGATTTAAAGTGTTCTTTGATGACATAGAACAATTGACAAGCAGCTTTAAAAAAGACTTACAAGGCATAAACAACTGCACCTGTGAGATAACACACAGAAGGACAAAAGTTTACAGAAAACATAAATGAAAAAATACAGCAAAAGAGCAGGTACAGTGAAATACGTATAATAGTCAATATTAGTCAAGAACATGATTAGTATATGAACAGTATATGAATAGTAAATGAAGCTTGTGTAAAACAGTGGAATGGTTGCACAGAAGTCAAAAGAAAGAGGCTCTCTCTCATCCTGCCACAGGGAAGAGCACACACATGTAATGGCTCCTGCCTCTTGCTTTCCTGAATGAGAGAGGCAGATTTGGAATTTGATTTTACTTGGTTTTTCTTCCCCTTAAGCACGATTTTGGTGACAAAATCTGACATTCATCATGGTTATTTCCAAAAGAAAAGCAACCTCAAACATTAAAAGGAAGGTTAGAAGTCTCATGTTTACACCGAAACCTCTTCCTCTAGCAAGGCTTGAATAGTTTGAACTGCAGAAAGAATGTAACAGCAAAATGCGAACATGCATGTTTTGACCAGCAGAGACTGCGTCTTCTTTCTTTTCTTCATTCTCACATCTTAGATGGAGCCTAGAGAGCTGGAACAGTCTCTTCAAGCCAGTAAAAACCACATCCAGTAATTTATACAATCACTTCAGCTTTGTAGAAGATCTCATCACAGGGACCCTTCTCTGCTGGTCACAGCCAGCAGAACTGCCAACCCAGAGCATTCTTTGCTCAGCCTTGCCAAGTTGTGATTGCTCTTTTGGGGAGGATAGCAAGACGAGAAATGACCTTGGAATTCCCTTCTATCTGCTTTTAGCTCAGAATAAATTAGCTTGGACACAGAAGGAAACCATATCAAAGGCATCAGCCTTGGTCTGTGTGTGGTTTGAGGCTGATTAGTCTGTCCAGCTCCCTGGTGAAACACAAGACTCCGTTAAGGGCTTGGCATCTGGCAGAGAAAAGCTTGATCTGATGCATATGCACTGGAAGAACCTTCCCTTTCCACCCCCCCTCTGGATTTCCCTCTGTGTTACTCACCAGTACTGCTCTGGATGGTCCTCACGGTGGTGGTGGTGCGCGGGGGAGACGAGGAGCGCAGCGATATGCACTCGTCGTCCTGCGAGCAGCCCTTCTCGATGGCCCGCACGTAGCTGTGGCTCCGCATGCGGAAGCAGCCCGGCATGGGCAGGTCCAGCGCCTCCACGGCCTGGGACTCCAGCTCGCTGAACACCGACTCGCAGACCGACTCGAACTGCCCGTTCACCTCCATCTCACTCACCTGCAGACAGACACACGGCAGCGTCAGTGCAGCCCTGCGTGGATGTTCCACGCAAACCCTAATTACTGTGCAACAGGATACAAGAGAAATAACCAGAATTCTGCAAAGAGTAAAACAAAATGCGGATCATCACTGGTGGGATGTGATCTTTGGGTGGTCACCAACTGCAAGTGGGATCTTTATTAAGTTGTGTCATCCCATTGTAGTTTTATTAATATTAGTTGGAGTAAGTTGAGGGTTATCCTTTGTATTGCTAATTTGGAATTGGAGAATACTACAGCGAGTAGCTGTGTTAACCTCCTTATCAAATGTACATGGCAGAGCATTAAGAGACACCTATTGTCGTAGGGATTTGCATTAAGCAAACAAATTTACTTATTTTTAGGAAAGGGGGGAGAAATGAGACAGAGTGGAAATTTTCCAGAGTAGAAATCTATTTTGATTTAGGTGAAATGCACATCTTTGAGTTGTCTGTAGCTTGCAAACATAGCTATTTACTCTGACTGCCTGTTCTCGTAAAAAGCCTGTGCTTGGAGAAACTGTTTCAGCCAAAGGACAGAGATAAGGTGGCACAGACAGAGAGCAGGGCAGCCTAACCCAGGAATTCTTTCTGATAAAGAAAAATTAGCAGCAAATGTCATGTGGGGTCATTAGAACACTCTCAAGCTATGGTGACACAATGGCCAGCACCTGTTAGAGGATCCCTTTGCACGTAAAGAAAGATAAATGAGACATCCCATAGCAGCAATTGTGAGGGGGAAAAATCATGTATAAAAAAGGGAGACAGAGGTGTTGGGCAAAGATTCATCAGAGTTTGGGCTCTTGGCTCTTCTGAAACTGGTGGGAAGCCTGGAGGCCTCATAGCAGTGTCTGTTTTATGTGACCCAGGGCCCACGGCAGAGGTTGAATGTTTGGTCATTGTGATCATTATATGTAAAACAAAATTCACACTTTCATTGTGTGGTGAGGAAAAAACAAGAAGGGTCAGCTTAACCCAGTACATTATCAGTGCAACCCACAGGCAATCACACTGATAAAACCTGAGTGGCTGGAAAGCTGCAGGGTAACAAACACAGGACGGGGAGGTTGGTAAGGGAACCAGCTTTGCTGCTGGGGAAAAATGTCTGAAGAACTAAATTTCCGGCTGAGAGCAGATGTAAAGGAATCCTTAGACCCTTTGTGCAGCAGACACTAGGTGGTGACAAAGACTTGTGCTCATGGTGGTTAAAGAGCATTCAAAAACTTCCTACAGGTCTTAAGAATCTGGAAACCATTTACCTTGGCTTAATTATTAATGGATGCTCACGTTTCTAAACTGAGCATTGAGCCCTGAGCTTGGCTCTAAAGCACAATATTATCACTGTATGAAACATGCAGATGGAAACTATCACTTGAGGATTTTGTTAGTTTTCAAGCATGTACAAGACCAAGTTAGCAGGAGAAGATACGACTGTGTTAGGAAGGTAGAAAAAGACCACATTAGAAATTCTCTTCCAGATTAATGTTACCAAGAAAAATGTTTGGTGGAGTCTTTGTATATATAACTGAAAAATCTCAGTGAGCAAAATATATTTTTTTCAAAGGAAAATATTTAAAAAAGCATGGAAGAGTAGTAGGTAGTACAACAAAAAGAATAATCTTACTCTAGCAGAGAATATCCAATCCTCAAGTAAATATCTCTGAATTAATGCATTTTTAAACCAAAAGACTTGTTCACCTTGGCAAATGATAACTACTCCTTGGCTGACAGCTTTGTGTGTTAGGTGTGCAGCTAAACAAGTAACCTGACCTGATGTTCATGTAGTTGCCTCTGAGACATGAAATTCTGTGCTGTTTTCTCCCAGATACATCCTGACCTTCCTTTTAGAGCATCAGCCCATGCCCTATGCAAAGTGCCTCACTTCAAAATACACAGGTAAATACTGTGAAGTGTCTAAATATAGTAGACTGCAGAAAGGGAAACTACAGCTCCATATTGAATAACAGATGTATTTGTTAGGACCACAGCTGAAGTCCTCGTGTCACTGATGTCACACACTTTTTGACATGGTGATGACTTGGTATGCCAGTCATTAGGGATCAGTATCTGGCACCACAAATCCTGCCTGCTGCACTTCTGGACTAGTGTAAGGAACAAGTGATTTATCCAAATGATCCACTTAAGCTAACAAGCCAAAAATCATACCAAGGAGCTAGAGGATGTAGCAGATGAACTACTGGCCCTCTGCCCTGTGGTGTGCTGGCCCTTTTGCACTTCTTTCAGATCTGTTCCCTATGAACTCAGCTGTACAAGCATGTTGAATGCAAGGACAGACTATTTTATAACATTAAAACACAAAAACTGAATCTGTCACAGTGGACTTCATTTTTCTTCTTGTTTAGGAGCATGAAGATCTCTTACAGGATTTCAGGGCAAAAATACAGACAGATCTTTTCACTTAATACATATCCTGTAATATTTGTACTATTTAGGTGAAAAATTTGGAGGTACACAAAGTAAAGAATGCATAAAATAAAATCTCTATTAAAATTGTGGAATACAAATTATTAACAGCCTAATTTTAGATTAGCACCTCACTCAGCATACAAACTTTCTTTTGAGGTATTCAAAAATTTTTGATTGGCAGTACTAAGCACAAGATCCTTAAGAACCCTGTTCAATGAGAGTGCTGGTGAGCCAAATCCAGTTTCTCTTATTGGAAGGAGTGTCCAGTGTGACAGTGGCTCTGCAGGCTGCCCCAGGTGCAGGTCACCCACCTGGCTGATGGTGCTCATGGCACCACAACCTAACTTTACTTTAGCACCTCACTCAGCATACAAACTTTCTTTTGAGGCATTCAAAATTTTTTTGATTGGAGGTGCCAAGCACAAGATCCTTAAGAACCCTGTTCAATGACAGTGCTGGTGAGCACCACTTAAAGCACAATCAATTTTCTCTTATTGGAAGGAGTGTCCAGTGTGACAGTGGCTCTCCAGGTGCAGGTCACCCACCTGGCTGATGGTGCTCATGGCTCTCATGTAGCTCTCGTTGCGGGAGCGGAACTTGGGGGAGGTCAGCAGCCCTGCGGGGTCCAGGCTGTCCAGGCTCCTGTTGATGGAGACTTCGCTCACCGCCCTCAGGTAACTGTGGCTCCGGATCTGGAGCTTTGGCGAGTGTTCACTGGATATCCTGGGAGTTGTGGGTGGGGAAAAAAGAAAAAGAAAGGAAGAAAAAAGAGATTCCATCAAATCCAAGTGACCTCACCAGGAGTGAGAATAACCAGATGTTTTTCACTGGAACAGCATGACTTGAACAAGTCATGACACAGTTCTTGTATACTTATAAAAGAAAGGCAATGTCAGTACTTTTATTTGTATTACACCACCCTTCTGTTTGGCAGAAGGAAGAGAAAAGGATGGAAAGGATTTCCTTTTCATTTTCCATAAACTATGTCTAAGCATAATGGCAAAATCACATTCATTTTCTTTACTGACAGCAGAATGGAAAAATTTTACACTGTACTGACAATGACAACATCCAGCTCCAGCAACCCCCCCCCCCCCATGTGGGACTTTTGAAGTGACAACACTGAAGTGACTTCACAAGCTGATTTTAAAAGAGCAAGAGAAGCCACTGAGACGAGCAGCAGAGGAAGCCCTGTGGCCTTACAGAGATGAATGCAACAACCATCAAAACCTGCTGGGGAGGTGTGTAAAGAAGGAAGAGGCCTGATACTTCGATCAGCTGAATGATTCTAACTTTATTAAATGAACATCCACATCTCAAAATGCTGCTGGTGACATGATCTGACATGTTCTCAAGTATGTACTCATGAAACAGGACTGTTTCTCATGGGGCTTTCAAGGGTGTATGGGCCAACAGGGCAGGCAGATCATATAAACCATGCAAAACGCACTCATAGTATGCCTTAACCTGGGAAATCACTCCAACAGCATAGGCCACCTGATAAGGTTTGATATGCTTTAAATTTTATTTTCGACTTGGCTTAAGCCACAAGTTAACATGCCCCAACACAAAATGCATGCCAAGGAAGTGGCTTTACATAACTGTGTCAAATTAGAAGTTTAAAGGTCACAGTTGTATTTCTGAAGTGGTAACTTTGCCTAGTTTTTCAATACAAGTGACAGGTGAGATGTACAAGGAATCAAAACCGAACAAAAACCCCTCCCCCTGTGTTCCCCAGGGAATTTGTGCTTCTGCTATTTTCTTGTCCTATGTGCTAAGAGTCAGCTAGAACAATCCTCCACCTGTGAGATGCTTTATCCTCTGAATGTACTGGCTAAGTGCTGTCTTCCCAACCTGAGGCATCCTACAAAGATATGAGTCCCAAAAAGTGAGTGGAATACACTCGTATGAAATACAATTAATTTGGGGGATATGTCTTTTGAAAGAACTCATCAATTAATAAAGTATCAAAAGGGTGAGGCTTCAATGTATTTTTTGAGTTTTAAATATTCTTCATGTATCACAAAGCAAACTAAGTAAAATATTAACTAAATTTTCCATTTTAAAATGTAAATCTCATAGAGATGTTCACAGGTATATAAAAGAAAAATCTGTAACCTAATTACAGGCTTAATCTTTGTCTCCTAGTCTTTAGAAATACATGCACAGCTGACCTGAAAGAAGAGAATCCATTTTATGTCTAATTCCTGAAGCATTTGCAGATATTTTGTATTCAAGTATCTAATGATGGCAATTAGTATCAGCAATTTCCCAGTGGCATGCACAATTCTGGTAATTGTCAATGCATTTTGGGAGGACAATTCCATTGTGTAATCACTCACCTAAGTAGTTCAGAAACTGGGTCTAATTCTTAATCATCTAATACTGTAATAAAACCCAGGCCATCTCTACAATACCATATTCTCTGGCTGCTAATTACTTCCTAATAACAATACGTAAACTTCTGCTAATTACCCGATACTCCTGTCACAGGATGAAGAGAAAGCCTTTGCTTGCCATTTTCACTGTGCATACAGTGCAATACAACAGCCATTTCCATACTCTTTGACTCCTTACACCACTTGATTCCACATGACAAAACCTCTTTAGACATCAGAATAAGTGGTGCTCCAAACAACTCAAAAAAAAGGCAGAAAAAGTGGTGAAAAGTCAACTGTTACTAATGGTTACATTTGTTTACTGCATTTTGGTAACTAACACTAACCATGTAACTCTTGGAATAAAAATTATTGCCTGTTATTGAATTAAAAAAAAAAGAATGAATAATTCAGGAGACATAATTTTTCTGATGCATGTGAGCTACTTCACTAGGCTGCAGATCTGCAAACTGATCAGCGTCGCCTGAAATGCATTTCCTAGATTGGTTCAAAACGTATTTTATGATTATGATGTGAACGGTTTGCTGCCAATATGTGACATGCAAAATTCAAATCAGCTTGATTAGCTGCCAGTTAGTCAAATAGGTCACCTGGGGGTTGTTGCTGCTCACTGATTAGCTGAGCTTGCAAGAAGACTGCAGCACATCATGAGATTCAGTGCACAGATATTGCCAGAGAGAAATCTGCAGTTGCTGAGGCATAAGCCCTTTAAAAAGTGGAACCAATAAAGCAAGTATCCATAGCACAAAGATTTTGCTGTGGCAGCCAGAGTAAAGATCATGTAAGATACTCATGGAAGTGGCATGGAAAGCCACCACAAAGAGTATAGAAATGAATTTTCTGTGTGCATTAGTGTTGCATAGTATTTTTGCAACCCTGCTTAAAACAAAGGAATTCCTCATAAAAGTAGATGTTCCCCTTTTGTTTTTCAGATGTGGGTCCTCAGCACAGCTGCCTTTTTTTTTATTTCTGTTTTTGTTTCTCACCATGCAACTGGCTAGTTTGACACAAATCCAGAACTGTATTTTACAGGGGGCTACTTATCTCAATCTGTGCACACTTCCCTCTCCTGTATAGACCAGAGGAGGTAATTGGCTGCTGTTGAAGGAGGTGGCTCCTTGCTTACTGATTGCTACAATCTCTGTTTCATTAGATGTAGTGGTGGGGGAGAAAAAGAGGATAAAAGGGATTTAAATCTAGAGAAAGAAATATTGAAAGCTTGCATTTATAATGATTACTGCTGCTTTTATAGCTGTGTAATAAATCGTCACTATGTCCTACAGTAAAGTTTAATGAACAGCTGAAATGCCACTGGAAATTTTGATAATATGCCACTTAGGAATAAATCTGACTATGTATGATGTGCAAGATCTGAATGTATAATTAATTTTCTTGGAGTTACTATTACCAGTAACGTGTAAATTAAAATACCTTTTTCTTCCTTGAGGGTTCAAGTCCGTCTCTTATTTATCCTGCATTACCTACATTTCTCTTTTTGCCATTGTAATTTCTACAATAAGTACAACATGTCAAGGACTGAGACTTTGGGAGAGCTCTTTGGCCAGTACAAAATGGTCTTTTGGCTCCACTCACTGCATTGGATGGATTAATTGGCAGAAGTGGGATGTGAATTATTTAGGTTCTTAAACAAGCTCCTCAAGCATGTTCCATCATTTCTGTGCTGCACCCACAAGTGGCCAGTTCCTCACACTGGCTGCACCATGTTTTTTCCCCACACTGCTGCCCTTGCCCCAGACCTCACCCCAGAGGATGGGAGCACAGCCACAACAGCATCACACTGATACCACACAGGGTGGGAGGCACAGCACTACTGGATGTGCTTCCCAAAAACCACAGCAAGAGGCACCAGGAGAAGATATGAAGACTCTGAATTACTGCTGCTCTGCTGATTGCCATTTTGGGTTTCCTGAGGGGATTTGCAAGAGAAGGAACCAGCCCTGGAGCTGAAGTGGGTGGAAATGGAGCCTGCTGAGTCCCAGCAGATAAATAAATACTCCCCTGGGTAGAGGAAGGCAAGCGCTTCTGATCCACACTGTGCATCACAGAAGATCAAGGTACCCCAGCAATGAGGCCAAAATGATACAGAAATTCCATGAGAAGCTCTGAGAGGAGGAGAATGCTCATTCCATGTTCTAGTGAAGCATCTGAACCAGAAGATCATGTGGGTGTATAAAGGAAATCTTTGCATACTGCACTGAGATTTCTGCTCTGTACATTTCGAACACACTGAAGCCTACTCTCCTGTTTTCATTCAAACAGAGAAAAGAAAGTGTTTAAAACACACACATCTAATCACCCTACCACTGTTGCAACATGCATGGTAAGAAATACTTTTAACTCACTGTTACAGATATGTTTGTATTTACACAATATTAACATGATTTACATGACTTAATTCAGATGAAAACACATTCTGGTCCCCCATTGATTATTTACAGAGTAAGGAGTTGGTTGGTGCAGGCATTTGTGAGAGCAGCTAGACTCAGCTGCTTTGCTCTGGAGGCCACAGGGAAGCTGGAGAGGGACCCTTCATCAGGAATTGTAGTGAAAGGACAAGGAGTAAAAGCTACAAACTGAACAAAGAAAAAATTAGGTTAGATATTAGGAAGAAATTATTTACTGTGAGGATGGTTAGACATCGGAACAGGTTGCCCAGGGAGGCTGTGAATGCCCCAACCCCGGCAGTCTTCAAAACCAGTTTGGGTAAGGCCTTGAACAACCTGGTCTAGTGGGCGGTGTCCTTGCCACTAGAGGTGTCCCAGTTGGGGAGGGGGCTAGATGATCTTTAAGGTCCATTCCAAGCCCTTGACACTCTATGATTCTATATCAAAGGGTTCAAAATGCAGTGTTAGCAATTAACCGTGAAATAACTTTGAATATATTCTTGGAAGAGTTCCTATGCCTTGAAAATATCTTTCAAATGACAGAGAGAAGACAGACAACAGGGATTTACATAAGCAGGCAATTTTAGTTTCAAATATATCCTATTAATTTAGGAATGCACAATGCACTCTGTCATATACGTGCTCGTTATAAAAAGCACTTTCACTTATACATTTCATTTCTGAATGAAGAAAGGGAAAACCAAGCCTTGTGATGACTACTATTTTTCCCTTTAGGCCAGACACAATATAATATAATGTAGTCCTGAGACTATATTGTCTTCTCCAAGTTCAGCAGTCAGAATCATAGCACAAAGTACAGTATTGTGCCAGATGGGTATCGTGTTCTGCCAACAGAAAATGACAAAGCAGAGTAAAGTAAAAGTCCAGGAACGTGTCCCAAATGCTTCTGTAAGCCAGT